AGGTTAGTTTTGGTGCTATGGCCATGTGAGGCTATGCATGCATGTAAAGTTTGCAACTTTACGTGACATGTTCACTAGGAGAGTATGGATCTGAAGTTTGAAACCTTAAATTCCCCTGGAAATAACCGAATACGTGAGAACTCGTCGAGTCCATCTGGTGACTCGGCGAGTCGAGAGAGTTTTCTCATTTACGGCCAAGGGTTCATGGCCAAGGGTTTACGACCAAGGGTTTACGGTCAAGGGTGTACGGTTGGTGGTTTACGACCGTAAACATCAAGGAACTCGACGAGTCCCTTGGGTGACTAGGCGAGCCGATGAGTTAAGCAGGGAACCCGACGAGTGAATGATTGTACTCGACGAGTCAAGGTCAATATGGACTGTTGACCTTGACTATAGACTTTGACTTTGACCAGGGTTGACCCTGGGGGTATTTATGGGATTATGCTGAGTTATTCACTCATTGATTATAAACAGTTTAGGAAGAGCAGCACAGGACATACCTGAATTCAGTTGCCGAATCAGCTTTGTGAGGTGAGTTTTCTCACCATACCAATGGGTCTAAGGCACCAAGGTCGGACCATTTTGTGATAGTTGGTTTACTTGTTACATAGAGGTGTGATATGTATGTGTGCATGATAGGTGGTAGAGATAGCCTTTGTGGCTAACGGTAGAGATAGCCTTATGGCTAATGGTAGAGATGGCCTTAGGGCTAATGGTAGAGACAACCTTTATGGCTGACGGTAGAGATAGCCTTTGCGGCTAACGGTAGAGATAGCTTCATGGCTAATTGTCATGTGATATGTGGTGGAGGTAGCTTTATAGCTAATGTGATATGTGGTTTGTGCGGGGTATGCTCTGGGGGACTCACTGAGCTTTCAGCTTATCGTCTGTGGATTTGTTTCAGGTACTTCGAAGCCCAAGGGCAAAGGCAAGGCGTGATGATGCGGCGTGCACTCTATCTCTCTTTTCCGATCTGGTTTGGGGGACACTCTGATGTTTTGGAAATAATAATGTTGTAATGTTGGTGGTTTTTTTGAAAACAATTATTGGAATTTCTATGTTTATGAAAAATGGTTGACTAATTAAAAATGAAAAATTCACCACGTGGACTTGTTAATAGGACCAAAATGCCAACATAGAGTTATTCAATGACATGGCAGCTCTATTATGATTTGGCAAAATTATTCAATGATGTGGCAGTTTAACTTATTGACTATGTAGAGGTTTACCGGTTAACCTCTTCACTTTTTTCATAAGGACTTTTTAAACCCTAAAAAGTGGAGTTCATGCCCTTAAAAGGCAAAAAATAACATAAGGAATCATTTAAACAAAATCAGAAAAGTTTGTAGGATCTCAATGATATTTACCCTTTATAAAACTATTAAAAATATATAAATCTTATTAAAAGTTATTTATTACAACCTTTAAAGTTGATTGAATTAAAGTTACATCTTTAATTCATGACTTTTGAGAAGTCTCCTAATCCCATATAAATAGGTTGCTTATGTTCTCATTTTGATCAATCAAGTTTAAATACAATTTGTGAGTTTTTAACTCTTTTTGTTCTTTGTGAACTTTAGAACTTATCAAGTTTCTATAACTTGTGGAGTTCAAAACTTATCAATCAACTTGGTGGGTTGATTGCGGCGTTTCTTTTATACCAAGGTTCTTGTCTCATTTATAGGCAACATGTCGTAGTTTCCACCATCACATTACAACAACCATAAGAGAGATTGGGCAAAACGTGTTCAAAACCTAACTTTTGGGTGAGATCATCACCTTGTACACCTTTGAGTCAACTTTCGTATCAAACCTCATACCATGTGTTTACAAAGGTGTCCCTCCTCTAAGGGGTTGAGGGTTCAAGTCTTGTAGTGTACAAAACGATAGTTTAAAAGTAAGATATAGAGGGTGTATATTAGTCGGTTCTAAAAAAATACTCTTCAATCAACATGTCTTAATTATGCGTGAGCATGGTTAAATGCATTCACAATGTTAAATGTATGTTTTTAGCAAAGGGGTGTCAGACATAATTTTGATTATTAAACGGCAATATCGAACCTATGATTAGCCGGCACAAGCATTCCTTGACGACTGTTTTTAAGAATTTGTATGTCGGTCGGGGGTTTTCAATTGGTTAATACTTAATAATGTGACAAACTTCATACCCATTGCATTTGTGAAGCTTGTAATGTAAGTATGTAACGTTGATCTTGTTGAAATCTAAGTTGATGCAACAAAGGAAGTGATCCCAAGGGTTTCTTCGATGTGGACAGGGTATCCCGATGTCTAAGAAGAACTAAAGTTCCCAACATTAAGTAAAATGATAACTCAATAAAGATAAAATTAAAAACAACTTGGATGAAGGTGGTATCCTGGGATGAAGATGCTCGATTTCAAAAATAAAATTAATGAAGTGTCAAAAACGAATGAAGGGTCTCCGGCGAAATGGTAACATTGAGCAAAACTACAAAATATGATGTTTGATTTAAAATGAAAAACGACTTTTGTACCATTATTGCTCAAAAAGTAATTTGTAGTTATAATTTATATCATTCAATTTTCTAAAGGAATGAAAATACCCTCCACCATTGATTGAAAAACAACAATCCAAACTAAAAATAATAAATAAACTCACGTAGAAGTCTTCGTGGACAATTTTGCTTAACAAAGTCTTTTCAATCCCATATCAGAATATCAAGTGTAGTTGATATGTGAAACTAGGAAAAAAAAAAGCATATTACCTTTTTTTCAAGTTATTTACAAAGACCTATACTACCTAATAAAACAATTAGCAAAGTTGTATAAAGTTTAAATAGCAAAACTATATGAAAAGTGGAATAATATGTTACAATTCAAAAAAGTGGTAAACATTCCTTTGTTGTTTCTTACTTCTGAACAGGAGATAAAAATAATCATTTGCTTAAATTCAGACTAAAAATAATCATTTACTTAAATTTAAACTGTAAAGTCCAAAAAAAATATACATTCGTCATTCATTCTAACTTTATTTATCTATACAGAACTTACACACAAGATGTAAGTTTTTATTAAAAACATAAACTTTTGCAATTTAAATTTAAATAACTCCACATTAACATTTATTTAATCAATTATTTAAAAAAGATCTATCAATTATACTCGAATAACTAACTAATTTGTATTATAACCACAGACACCACATCAGCCAAGCAATATGAGCCTCCCTTGACCATAGTGTTCTATATAGAAGAACACCAAAAAAACAAAACAAAAAGTACAAAAATACTGAAAATAGTCATTTTGTACACAAACTACACATGTATTGTCAACTGAGTTCTTCCTTTACAATCAAATTCCCCACCAAATCTGTTTTTCTATCTTTCCCAACACACAATTTACTCCACATGCAAAACAAAACAAAACAAAACAAGAAACGGACACCAAACCAAGGGCAAAATCGTCAATTCAACGCACCACCAATTTCCATACAAAAAGAAGCAAGTGATATACGTAATAAACATGGAAGAGATTTACAAAATAAAACAATGGTAGCAACTTTTGGTTATTTATTTATTGTCCATTGATGGAGGTTCCATTTTTCTTGGCTTCAAGAGTGGCACCTTCTTTAAGAGCCACATGGGCTTCAGTTTCCATTTTGAGGGCAAAAAGTGATGCGGCTTGTAGATATGAAGCAATGTGCCACACGGGCGAGATGACTTGTGCTTGCATGGCATCACCCAAAGCTTCTTGAGGCATCTCATTCATTAAATATGATAAACTTCTGCGTGCAAATACAGTTGGAGACACCATAGGTCCATATTCAATGAACTGCAAAAAAAAAAAAAAAAACAAAAAACATAAGTATATTTCTATTATGGATAAAAAATGTAAGCATGTGTACAAAAATGTGTGTATATTCTAAAAGTTTCAGGTTACATATTGCTATTATCGGTGAATAAATGTAAATGCATTGCTATTATAAGTAAAAAAAAAATGCAAGTATGTTGCTATTATGGGTAAAGAGATGTATGTACATTGTTATTATGGATAAATTAAATCATATTATTATAAGTAAAAAATGCAAGTACATTGCTATTATGGGTAAAATATAGGATTGCGAGAGTAATGTGTATTGTTATTTTCTATAAATTTCCATAAAAAGCATCCAAAGAGTTTTAACTTTTAACGTATTCAACTACATGCATGCATCTAGAAGTCAAAAAAAGAATCCAATGTAGGCAATGTACTTTGTTTTTTACTCAAAAATAACAAAGTACATATATTTTTTATTTACCCATAATAGAAACATAGTTTCATTTCTTTACTGATAATAGCATTTTAAATTGCTTTCAAAGATACACTTTTTACCAGTTTAGGCAAAATAGTTAAATTTTTACCAGATTATGTAGCCATGTTTCAATTTCCTAACAATTTGTTACCAATTTATGCATTAATTTACCATATTAACCTTACATGAATTGATAAATGAAACATGGATGCATATATTTCACGAACATCCTCTTTGTTGCATGACTTGGTTAAAAAAAAAATGTAACTTCATTGCATATATAAGTAATTAGCTCTCAAATCAACAACCCTTAAATTTCAAATTTCAGATTTACAAAGTCAAAATAAAATCTGAAAACCTGGGTATAGCATTCGATTGCAGTGCTAAATTCTTTGTGTCGAAACGCCATATCACCCTTCTTTTTTGAGTTTAGTGATTCTTGCATCTGATCAGTCCACATTTGAAACGAGAGCTAAAACAAATAAAAACAAATAAAAAAAAAAAGAACGAATATCAAAAGCCAATAAATAACGATATAAATATTTGTATTATAAAGTGAATATATGAAAAAATATATAAAACCTCGGTTGTTTGTCCTTCATCATCTTTATAGGAAAGCTTTTCCATAATTTCATGCATTGCAGTCAAATCCATTCTCAAGCATGCTTCACCAAGAGGAGATCGAGGCGAAAATGAAGTAGTTGTTTGGATGCCCATTAAAACATATGAAGGAACCTATACAATGTATCATGTCAATAATATAAATTCACTTATTTCTGTATTATAGCATCCTACTTTCATTTCTTACTATTAAAACATTCTACTTTCATTTCTTTCTATTACAACATAGTGCTCTGAATTGTTTTTCTTATTAAGAGCATTGTAACTTTGCGAAAAATCTATCCGGTTATAGCATTGTTTCTTAATAGGACATTATATTTTGAAAATTCTACCCAATTATAGCAGTGAAAATCACTTTGTAATTGGTTGACATTGCTATAATAACACGAAATGAAAGTAGGATCGATATAAGCAACAAATTAAGGACAGAGAATACATGCCTACCTTCAATTCTTTCAATCGTTTTCTTATTAAGGCATTTCACTTTGAAGAAATTATGAAAAAAAGTTATTTAATTGCAGCATTGTACTTTCGAAAAATCTACCCAATTATAGCATTGTACTTTCACGTTTTTCTTATTAGAACATTATACTTTGAAAAATCAAACTAGTTTCAAACTTTTCTTTCTAGAGCAGTGTACTTTGAATGATCTTACCCGATTTTCCCAGTTATAGTATTATATATATGAACAAAATTATAATATTTTCACTCCCAACAATTTTTGTAACTAATGTTTTGATGTACAAAGTGTGGAGAGGGCAAAAAGGAGAATATCCACAAGTCAACAAAAGTGAAACTAAAACTAACCTCAGTTTCCTTTTGAAGAGAAATTAGAGCAGACACAACTGTCTTTGGATTTGGGCGTTCACGTGGTTCATAATTCAAACAGCGAGAAGCCAAACGCACCAACTCGGTTCCATCATCATTAGAGAACTCTCCTTCAAGGCATGAATCCGTAAGCATTTGAAGATTTCGGTCTCTTATCAGGTCAAGAGCCTATTCAAAACTCAAATTACCAAAATACCCTCCAATATGGTATTCACTATTCATATATAGCGAGAAGGTGTAGACTTACATGGCTAGGAGGGATGTGCTTTCCACTAAGAAGGTCAAGCAAAAGAGTCCCAAAGCTATATATCACACTCTCTGGAGTCACTCTCCCTAAATGAGAACAAGAAAAAGTGGTTGACAAATTACCAAAATACCCTTCAATATAACGACAAGAGAATCTTAACAAACTCCAAAGCCAAACATCAGAATATTCTAATGCAGCTTGTTTTTCCGATATAATTTTAAAGAATGTGTCTCGATCAAAAATCAGTTTTAGGAAAGGATTGATTAGACAGTTTTTAAAAGGTTGTCAAATTCTTTTTTATAGAGTTTATCTCAAATCCCAAGTCAAAAATCAGTTTAAAGAAACATTGCAACAATTGACTGGAAGTAGTTTTTAAAAAGTGGTTGAATTCTTGATAAAATACTAAAATGCCTTTCATCGATGACAAGAGAATCTTTAAAAACCCAAATACCAAAAACTTTAAAAAAAATTTGCAATTTTCATGGGACAAAAAACGTACCTGTTCTCAAATATTCAGGAGGAGTAAATGCAAGATTTGTACTATAACTTTTCCCATCCCTGCTATTCTTCATGAGACCAAAACATGAAAGTCTTGGATTACCTTCCTGTAAAAATATAATTCATAAATAAACCGATTCAACAGAATTTTTGGAAAAAAAAACAATTTTTCTTTAATAACTTCACCTCATCAAACAAAACTCGGTATGCATTGAGGTCATGATAAAGAGCACGACCTTTACTTGTACAATATTCAAGAGCTTCTGCAAGATGTAGCACAACTCTTAACCTCATTGCCCACTTCATTGGATGTGATTCCCCTGAATCAATAAAATTTTTGCATTATAAGCAATAAATATAAGAAATCGCATTATACTTTCAATCTTTTCTTATTGAGACAACGTACTTTGAAGTATCTATCCAACTGTAACATTATACTTCAAAAACAACACTATCTAATTATATTTATAGCAGTGTAAATTGCTTTGTATTTGAAATATGATATTTCTTTAATAGAAAAAAAAAATGAAAGTAGGATGCTATAATAAACATATCAATAAAAGTACATTGCAAAAACTCGGGTGTCCTTACAGTGAAAAAGATGTTTGGCAAGTGTGTTATTGGGCATGTACTCAGCCACAAGTAGCCTCTCATCATCTTCACAGCAGCAACCAAGAAGATTAGCCAACCTAACATTACGCAGCTGCCCAACAGATTTAGCCTCTTCCTGTGAAATGACATTTATGCCCTCAATCAACATACATAAAGACTCTAGAATACATGCATGATCCCTTCTCTTTTAAGGATCGGTCATCTTAAAAGAACAATAAAAATTCTTTAACAGCTTGCTTCCTCATTTGTTATATTGATTCAACGAAGCTTTTATGTTCAGCTTCACAACATTCTAAAAGTGTTTCAGACATCTGACTGAAAAGTCAAACCACTTTCCTCAAAAGAAACATACCATAAATTGTCTAGAATCAGGCCAAGCGGATCGATTAAAGCGTTTTACAGCTATCCTGATTTGATTGTCAAGTTTCCCTTTATAAACCACATTTGGAGCTTTTTCACCATGTTCAGATACAATATTCTCCACAGCAAAACCTGATGTGGCATTTCTAAGTTGTTCAACTGTGAACTCTTTGAAGGCTGTTGGATCATTCGCCACCTCATCTTTATTTCCTGCAAAAACAGGCCGAGTTGTTTTTATTAGTTGGGGTTAAATGCACAAAATAGTAACGTGTTTTCATTGCTTTTTTACTATTATACCATTCGACTTTCATTTCTTCCTATTATAGCACTGTAGTTTCAAAAATCTGCCTATTTAAAAATGTCGTCCAAATACAAAGCAATTCTTACTGCTATAATTGGATACATTTTTCAAAGTACAATATCTTAATACGAAAAGGAAAGTATAATGTAATAATGGGTAGATTTTTTAAACTATAAAAAAGATTAAAAAATGAAGTGTTATGTTGTAGGGGATGTTATAATACACAAACTAATACAAGTACATTACTATTTGCCCTATATTTTACAACTAAAGGGTCAAATTGGACAACCATTGATTTGTCTATTATAGCATGATCATACTTTTGTTTCTTCCTAATACAACATTGTACTTTGAAAAAAAACAAATTATATAGCAATGTCATCAAAATACAAAAGATATCTTATTTGCTAAAATTGACTATTTTTTTCTAATTATAATGTCTTGATAAACAAAAATTTAAAATACAATGTTATATAACTAAGTAGATAGAATATTCAAAGTAGAATGTCTTAATAACAAAAAAAAAATAGAAAGTATAATATTTGTAATACACAAATATATAAAAGTAGATTGCTATTACTTGCAATGTATAAGTACATACCAGTGGTTGGATCCTCACGAACGGATGACTCTTCTGGTGAAACTAAACAACATGGGACAAGCTTGGCGCAAAAAGAACCCATAATAGCAACCAAAAAGCAAAAAGAACCTGTAATAAATGAGGCTAGATGTGAAATTACATAATCGCCCCTGACATTTTACAGCAAAATTTTCTAATTACCTGTATTTGATCCTTAAAGTGACAAAAAAGGGTTTATCAGTTGACTTTTGTGTGTCAAACGATCTAATTTAAGCTTCAAAATTGATCAACTATATTTAACTAATAAAGAAAGTAGTAAAATAGAAAGTTGTCAAGAAATTTTTTTTTTTTTTTTTTTAAGTAAAATATATATGTAAAGCATCAGGTTTGACTATCGAGTCTAGAAAATAAAAACCTACTCCTGTTTACATCAATTCATCGAATTAAACAGATTCATTCCAGAATTATTCCGTATGTTTGATTGACAGAAACTCGTAACCATTATTTATTTCGCGTAGATACATAAAAAACGCCTAAACAATCGACGATCATGGGTTCTTTCATGAACAAACACTAATTCAATAGTATAATCATCAAGCAATCAGCTGAAGAAAGCTAATTACAAGTCAATTGAGGTGATTTTGATCGGAAAGTCGACAAAAGAACTTAAGAACCATACCTTTGTTGTATAATTATATCTTGGTTCTTCAAAATCAACTAGTAAACGCAAAGTCAACTTTCACCCCGTTGCTGATTCTGAACCACAATCACCCAAAAAAGAACCCCGAATTTTGGAAGTCTTTCAATCCGTTAATACAAGTCAAAATTGAAAACCCCTTTTGATCAAATCAAATCAACTGCTAAAACCCATGTCCAATTTCCCACAGGATCCACATTTTCGACTTAAATACCAATATTACCCCGACACACAGTGGACACACAATAGCTTCTTTGTCTTGCAAGATTTTAGATAAATTCTGCTTGGGAATCAACAACGATAACTCAAATAATGGTGTTTTGGGGAACAGAAAAAGTTCTTGATTTTGCTTCGAGAAAGCAAAAATCAATCACAAGATCCTAGACTGGTATATGAAAAGACATACAAAGATTAATTATTCTAGGAAATTTGTAAACTTGAAATTTATGAAAACCCTAGACATATGTAGTGATGTATTTGCTTTATGTGTGAACGGATTAGGATTTATTTTCTTTACGCGGGTGGCCATTGCACCTTCATTGTGATAAAATCGACATCATAGAGAAACGATATGGAATAATGGCCGATTTTTATAACATTATAATAATATTATAATGTGATAATGACTTAAAAGGGTGATATATTTTTCGATTTGTACATATTTGGTCACTGAGTTTTTTTCGTCCACATTCAGTCCTTATGACCGGTTACTCCAGGTTAGCCGAGAAAAATGACTTAATAGGTAATATATTTATAATTTTGTACACATTTAGTCATTAATATTTTTGTACACATTTAGTCCTTAATATTTTTTTGTTTCAAAATAAATCATTTTGTTTTTGTACTCATTCAGTACTTATGAATGCGGGACAATCATTGATGAAGTGTGTGGGGCTGTTCAAAAATCTTCGATTTCCTTTCTGGAAATTAAGTTTGCTCTTCAAAAATCGAACATAAAATCGTTTTTGGGGTTTTATTCTTCAAAAAACTAAAGCTTTGGTCAAGAAATCGGTTCAGATTTGCTTATAAATCCATTATTAAGAAAAAATGTTTATTCCAAAATACATTTATCTAAAATCAGAGTAATATAAGAAACGTGGAATTCTCAATACTGTTGATGAGTGTGTACAGTCATGTCTTCGCCTTCCCACGATCAACGATAGAACTTGAAAACATAAACAACTGGGTAAACACAAAGTTTAGTGAGTTTCCCCTAAAATACTCGATACAACAAACGTATTATCATGTATAACGGGTCCACACTCATCAGATCGGAATACATTGGCCTAATCAGTCATCAGACTAGAATGCCAACATGCAACATGTCTAATCAGTCATCGGACTGGAATACTCAGGGTTTGTTGGCATGCCGCCTTAACCCAACCGCTCTTCTCGAGCCTCCGTGCCTACAGCTTACAGCCGGCCCGCACCAAGTATCTTGGCCTACAGCATATAGCAGGACCACCTCAACCTATCCCACCACCATATGGCTATCTCACGTAAGATATCGCGAAAAAAACCTAAAGAAATCATTCATAAGTACTGAATGAGTACAAAAACAAAAATGGCTTATTTTGCAAAAAAAAAATATTAAGGACTAAATGTGTACAAAAATATTAAGGACTAAATGTGTACAAAGTGAGAACTATATTACCCTATTAAGTCATTTTTACCGGCTAACCTAGAGTAGCCGGTAATAAGGACTAAATGTATACAGTTTAACAAGTTGAAGGGGTAAATGTGGACGAAAAAAAATGTCAGTGACTAAATATGTACAAATCAAATAATATATTACCCTTTTAAGTCATTATCTCTATTATAATTGTATGTTATAATATGTTAACCCAACTAAAATGATGTATGAAACTATGAACCCCTAAAAAAAAAAATACAAAACCGCACCTCACCTTTGTCCATGTAATAATAATAAAAAAATAGTAGTGACAAAAAAATAATAATAAATCAATAAATAAATAGTAGTGACAAAAAAATTATAATTTTTTGCACTGCGGACATGAAAGTGAGGGTTGTCGGTGTCCCTACTGAACATTATACAAAACCACACCTGACCTTTGTCCATGTAACATCGGTGGATGTGGTACCACAACTCACCACACTTTTGGTATGTCACGTCAACATTATATCATTTTCACATCATCCTCCCCTCACTCTACAAAACTAATATGAAATGGTACCATATAACCACACCCACTAACCTACCACAATACACATTTTTACCTGACACCGTTTGCGATGTCAGGTACTAAGGTTGTAAACTACAACATTAATTTATTTTAATACTAAGACTATTTAAGTTTCAATTGATTAATCATTACAACTAAAAAAATAGCTTATGATACTTCATTGATACTTTTGAGAGAAAGAGAGAGAGAGAGAGAGAAAGAGAGAAAGAAAGTTAGGTTCAAATGTTTCTAGCAACTATTGTGTTCCTAAATGCACCAATCACAAATTATGTAACGACCAAAAATTTCAACCAATTTAAAATATTTTATTTCATTCAAAAACCATTACGTTCATACATCTTGTTCTCAAAACAGTTTAAACATCAGAGTATTTCCCCAGAACCATATCTCATAAAACATAAACATGAGGAGCGGTAC